TATATATATATAAATTTTATATTCAATTATTACTATAATTTTTATTACAAACAGATTCTAGGAACTTTAGTTAAAAAATACAATCATGGAATAACTTGCATTGTGAGGATTGTCCAGGTACTTTTCTGAATAAATATTTGTAATTTCTATTTATAAAATATACAAAACACATTGTGTGTGCAATATTACAGTTGGTAAAATTATATGATGCCCTGGCAATACCAATAGCGGCTGGCGTAGTACATATGATTACTGAATGTGGCTGCAATGGTTTGATAAAAGAAGTGATGAATGAGATAGGCCAAAACGAAGTTAACGAAACGGATAGTCGTAATATGTCTATATTTCTGGAAAATATTGCAATTTCACAGCCCAATCTCATAATTCCCATTCTCGACAACATCACAGATTATCTGTCAAGTGAAGTATGTTTTCATTATAATTCTCATGCTATTGACTGAATAAAAAATTTACACTGATCGTAAGTTATTAATTTATACCATAAGCTATAAGAAATTTATCAATCACAGTTGAATATGAGGAAAATGAAGTACTATTTTTTTGTAGTAATAATATTAGTTTGTAATATTGTGAATGGTCAATTTCTTATAATTTACAGTATAAGTTAACAGTATAATTTATAATATAAGTTAACAAATTACAGTATAAATAATTCTTTAGAGTCTTGGCACAAAAATAGCCATAACTGAGTTGTGAAAATGTAGTCATAATTGTAAATAAACGCACAATGTTTTGATCAGCCTGCAATTTCCATAACGGTTATGGCCATCTTTATGTTTAAGCCTTATTTATATAGGAAAGTATTAAAATGTTCTTAAATTCTTTTAATAGTTTTATCAGCCTACAACTATGACTTCCATGACTTGGTTATGACCAAGGGTCTTTAGGTTTTAAGTGTTTATACAAGAAAGTATTAAAATGTTATTATTAGAATTTTATTAAATTCTTTTAATAAAATTCTTTTAATAGTTTTATACAATGAGAAACTGCGTGATTGGAATCTTGGGTGCCATAGTGCAAAAAGCATTGACTGGTGAAGACCTAACGGATAAACAAAAAGATCAACGTGACGAATGTCTGGATAATTTGGAAGAGCATATGTTAGATTGTAATGCTTACGTTAGGTCGAAAGTGCTTCAGACTTGGCAACGCTTGTGCTGTGAAGGCGCTGTGCCATTAGCAAGACACGGAAAACTTTTAGCCTACACCGCATTACGATTAGAAGATAAGAGCGCAAATGTTCGCAAACAGGCTCTTCAATTACTGCGTACTCTGTTGCAAAGCAATCCTTTTGCAGGCAAGGTATGTAAACACGAAAACTAAACTTTTTTTCATGATTAAATTGATCTATATATCTGTACAGTTAAATTGCGTTGAACTCTCTAATTCACTCAATAAAGAGAAGGAAAAATTACAAGAATTACAAATCAATATCGTGAGTGCTAGTGGACGTGGTAACGAACAAAGATTCCAGCTTTGGACTGTTTTACAATCTGATATAAAGGCAGCAATTAAGGAAATTCTGAAAGATAATGAAGAATATACAGATAGTTTGTATTTATATTTCTTGTCAATAAATTATTCAATGGCTTTTTATTATTCATCATTTTATTATTCAATGGCTTATTATTTTGCTTGTAAAATATATTACAAGATCTGACTTGTATGAATTTCTTTGTAGATGTAGAACAAGAGAACATCGATCCAAATTATGCGTTTGAGCATGTGAGACAATTATTATTAAGCCGAAAAGTCACTGAAGCAGTGACATACCTGTGGAAGACATGTATGACACTAGAGCAAATTTCTGGAATGGAAAATTTTTCCACTGCTACAAAAGAGGAATTTTTACTTTCCTTTTTATTGAAGATTTTCATAGAGTCAGAAAATGAATCGCCAAATGATGAAAATGCAAACGACGCGCAAAGTTCAACTTCAGAACAAAACAATAAGAAAGAGGAATTAAGATTACGAAAACGTGTTATTGATTATTTAAAAGTATGAGACATAAAATTGAACATTACGATCCTTTTGAATCATTATTGTACGTTTGTATGTATTATATATATTTTTGGCTGCAGAATTGTCTGAAGTTTGCTACTGAGTTGGAGAAGGCGATACCAATGGCAGAAAAATTACTGTTTTCTACATGTGCTGGAGATGCTGTTGAATCATGCACATTTTTAGGAACTGCTTTTCAATTCAGAGTAACCGGAGCGGCCGACTCTATGCGTGAAGCTCTGTTTCAAATATTCCATCGCGATCAATCTGTGCGTAATAACGTGGCTGTAGTGTACAAAGAGATCTATCTTAATATGAATAACAACAAACTATCAATCCGTCAAATAGCCGTTGCTCGTGCGAATCGTTTAATCGAATTGATGAAGGAATTAAAGCCTGGACAGAGCTTGGCTTTGACACTACTAATTGTAACGTGGTATGAAAACGGAGAATTAAATAATGAATTGTTGCAAGTAAGTATATTTAATAATTGAGATATGAGTTTTAAAGATAGATTATATATTCTATTCTTTTTTCAGATTTCTTCTTCCATAATCTTCAAACTTTTTCCAATCTCCCAATCATTCTTGTTAAAACTGAGACATAGACAGAGTAGAGAGTCCATTTTAATCAATACAGTCCATTTTAATCAATTTTTTTCGAAATTATTAATGATTTGAAAAAAAAAGTTTCAGATAAAAAAATGGTATTTTGGGGAACATATTTTGATCATGTTTTTTTTTTCTAGATGAAAGATAAAGACTATTTTAATTTTTCTAAATGGAATTATATTTTAATTTTTTTAATATAATATCACATTCCTCTATTTATTCTGTATAAAAATTAAGGTAGAGATATCAAGTCAATAGTTTATGAGATATTTTATACTTTATTCTGGCACATATTAATGAAGTATTAAATATGTCTTAAATATGTCTAAACTCTTAATTTTTTTATAATTTTATTAATACTTTTATGAACACAATAATAACGTAAATCAATTAGTGTAAAGAAAACACAATTGCTTAGCTTATTTAAAAAATTTCCATTTTGTCTTCATATTTTTCTTAAAGCAATTATGTGTTTTCTTTATACCATTACCCATTAATTCTTCTCATTCTAAATAAATAAAAGTATTATTAAGGTATGATTATACAAAAATTAATAGTTTACAAGATGTTTAATATTTCATATCAATATGTACCAGAACAAGACATAAAATATTTCGTAAACTATTCGTAGATAGAAATATTTTAATATCTCTATCTTAATACTTTCATATACAAAATAAATACAGAAATCTCATGTTATGTAAAAGAAAGCAAATAATATCATTAAAAAAAATGGAAGTAATCTTCATTTTTTAACATATTTACTTAGAAAAAAATATCGTAACCAAAATATATTTCCTTCGAAACTGTTCCATTTTCAATTGAAAAAATCTTTTGTTTCATTAATAATTTCGGAGAAAATTGACTGTATTGTGATCAAAATGGATTATCCTGTATATGAAATAAAAGAAATCAAATCTCTATCGACTACGCATCGATTACTCTTTTACACAATATACTCAAATATATTTAATACTAAATTGAATTTTGTTCAGTGATAAGTTGTAAATACTTTAAACATTTTTAAAATAAAATGGTATATGTATTCTATGTATTCTAATGAATACTGTATTTGTAGGTATTATGGGAAAAATTCTCCATGAAATATCCGGACACTTCTCCAATAGATAGCAGAACCGCGTTAATGATAATAACGATGATAGCTCAGGCAAAATCTAACATAGCATCTGATAATCTGGATGTGTTAATGAAGATAGGATTTGGTCCACGCGCGAAAGGCGATCTTCTTTTAGTACGAGATGCTTGTAGAATGTTGTTAAAAATCAAACAAAATAGCAAGGATGTCGAAAAGCCACCTTTGAGGTAAGCCTTTGAAGATAAAAATAATTCGAAGCTTTTGGGAAATTATTAATGAAAAATATTTTATCATATAGGTATCCTAATGATCATAATATGTTCAAAGAGATCATAACGTTATTAATAGAGTTTTTTACTAGTACAGAAGAAAATGCTTACATTTCTTTTGCGACAGATGCAATTAATGCTATATATCATGTAAGTAAGATCGTCGTATGTTAATTAAATGCATGTGCTCTTAGCGCCGAAACATTACTGTGTATACTGATACATTTGGAATATCATGCTGAGAAAATTTTACTTTGCAGTTGGCGAATCAGCCAGATAAGTTAATAAAGGAATTATTATTGAGCATCACCGAAAAGAGTCAGTTTATGAATAAAGAAACAAATGAAATATTAGATGTATCGAGCTTTATACTCTCCAAATTACTTTACATAATTGGACACGTTGCCATCAAACAGTTAGTTCATCTAGACGTGTCCATTTATAAGGAACTGAAGCGTAGAAATATGCTACGAGAAATGCAGGGTAAAAAAAAGAAACGAATAACGAAAAGCATATGTTCGACATCTGATAGGACTAAATCGACGAACATGTCAACAATCTCGAACTCTTCAAGCATTCAACGAACTTCTCGAAATAAAGAAACCTCGATATTCAATGAAGATAATGGAGAAGAAGCATTAGAAGGTGCAATAGACGATGCTGAGGCGGAGTTTGTAAATGGCACACTTGAACATGAAATTGTTACTGGAGATGGTTTGCTCACGAAATATGTGTATGTATTGAGAATTGCAAGAATGACATTCGGTTATTAATATACAGGATGGCCCCATCAAAAACGAAACTGAATAATTCCTACAAAAATGATTTTTCGAAAAGATGCAAAAACAGGTCGATTTGTGTTGGGAAGGGAACATCTTTTGGCGTATAATTCTTACTCAATTTCAACTCAAGCGGGGGATGAAAATATCTAAAAAAATTTCAAATGAAAAGGGGGGGAGATCAAATGACACATCATTAGAAAGATTTTTTAATTCCCTACATTCCTACATCTGAGTTTTTGATTAATTCGTTTAGATAATACATATGTTAAATCTAAAACAAATCTTTATATTTTCAAACTTTTTTCTTTATTATTCATCGAATCAGTCCATTAATAAATTGCAAGTGATGTCTAAATACATATCGTTTTTATAATACCATCGTGTAATTTAATGTAGTAATTGTTCGAAATGTTGAACAATTTCGAGAGTTAATATTGATATCTACGCTTAGTGGATTGAAGTTGAAAATAAAAATTATACATCAAAAGATATCCTCCTCCCAACACAAATCGATCCATTTTTGTATTTTTTCGAAGAGTCATTTTTGTAAGAGTTATTCAATTGTTTCGTTTTCGAAGAGTTCTATATGTACAATTGCTTACAGTCCATTGGTATTGGATGTGTGTCAATATCCTGATAAATATAACAATGAAAACGTGCAAGCAGCAGGTTCTCTCGCACTCAGCAAAATGATGACTGTCAGCTCCGAATTTTGCGAACAATATTTGAGACTCTTGATCACTATATTGGAGCGATCGCCATATCCCGGAATCCGATCAAATATGCTGATTGGATTAAGTGATCTTGCTACTAGATTTCCCAATCAAGTGGAACCATGGTCAAAACACATTTATGGGAGGTATGTTGGTTTTTGTACATCAATTTTCAACATTTAAAATAAAAATTTTAATTTAAGATTAATAATTAAATTTTATGACATAAAAAAAATACTTTTAAAAGTTATTAATTTTTTTAAGCCTTTGTTTATAATACACACAATAGTTTATCTTTCATATAAAAACAGCAAAAAAATGGGAGGAAGTAAGATGATATTATTATGTCAATATTTATCTTATCTATAGACTTCGAGATAAGGATATAAACGTGCGTAAAACATGCGTTCGTATGTTGTCGAATTTGATAATGAGAGAAATGATACGCGTAAAGGGACAAGTTTCAGAATTAGCTCTATGTGTCATTGATGAAGATGAACAGATACGCCGGGATACTAAAGAATTCTTCAGTCAACTTGCTCAAAAAGGCAATGCTCTATACAATATAGTGCCTGATATATTGTCACGCTTAGCAGATCCTCAGTTGAATCTTAAGGAGAAAAATTTCCAGGAAACCATTAGGTAAATATTATACATAAAGTATAAGTATGTATAACAGCAAGAAATCTGAACACTTTATAAATATTAATATTCGGCATTCCAAGAATGGATCTGGACACAGAGGAAACCCGCGAAACGCAGCTTTATAAATATTGTTATAATTTGCAGGTATATTCTCAACCTAATGCAGAAAGAGAAGCAAATCGATACTATAATTGATAAGATTTGCACTAGATTTAAGTTAGCGGCAACAGAGAGACAATGGCGTGATCTTTCCTATTGCCTTTCGCTTTTACAATTCAGCGGAAAAAGTAAGTGAGATAAATATAATATGTTTAATAACATAATTTATCAAAAGAAAATAATCCTATTTTATCTTTCTTAAAGGCATACGACGTCTCATCGAAAGTTTACCATTACTGAAAGAGAAAATTCATTATAAACCAGTATTAGCGGCTTTACGAAGTATAATTGAACAAACGAAGAAAAAAGCGGATGCAAAAACAGTTTGTCTAGAATTAGAAGAAAAAATACAGGAACTTATGGACGCTAAGGATAACGAAACGATAGATAATGAGATAACAGATAGTCATTTAATGCCACCACCATCTACTGTGCCATGGAACAAAAAAAGTATTCGTCGAAGTAGACGTAAGAGTATGAGCGATGAAGATGAAGATAGCTCCGATGACTCTGAAGAAGATGAACCTATTATAAAATGTAAGTTTAAAATCGATTTTGTTAATGTTTTTTATATATTGTATGTTATTAAGAAAATATACATACAACACAATATTATATTAAATAGGTATGCACAATAGAGATAATTTAGATCATAAGATTAAATATTTCAATAAACATTTGTGTAATAATTGTATATATGTGTATTTTTTGTGCTCATTAATATCTCAAAAAAATTTATACTTATTTCACAGCAAAAAAGTCCACTAAAGAAAATATTTCTTATACAAAGTCGATTAAGGATAGTAATGAAGATAATTCTGATGTCAATAAAGACTCAATTACTTCGATATCAATGAAACACGGTATTGGTTTTTTTCAACTTTTTTGTATTGTAATTTAATAATTAATAGAATGAATAACTTTTCTCTATATATTTATCTATAGTATCTATAGTATATTTATTTGGATATACATATGTAAATAAGAAATTCTTATTTATCAGAAATTGTT